CTTAGCTGTTTCAAAGTTCTCAAGAAGTGCATGAACAAATTCGATTGTCTTGTCAACGAGATGCTTTACATCAAACAATTAACACCGAGTTTGAACGTGCAAACGGATTCTATCCGTGCTAAAGCATTTGTGTAGCTACCTCCCCTATGCAAATTAGTTGTAACTCTTCAACTCGCATTTGTTAATTTTATTTTCATTTGTACCCTTGATAATGGCGTCATGAAGTCGCCGAAACGTCGGGATTTTATATCGTTCGTTTTTACCTGTCTAATGATAATAATAACAATAATCTTTATTATTATTATTATAACTATAACAATAATGATTATAATCAAAGGCTCTGTGAGCCAACTCGTGAATTGGATAAGCCAATGTAATTTGTGTCGTCAATAGAAATGGGTGTTTGATTTCCATACTGAGGTATGAATCGTTAGACTGGTAAATAAGCATTATGAGGAATATGATGTGAAACTAAACTAGGCCTCAAAGACAGAAAATATGGCCTGATTAGGATTTGGTGCAAGACAATCACTGTTCCAGATTTTACTGTAAAGGTTTGTGGAATGAAAGTTCAACAGGGTGCTGTTTTGTTTATCATAAAACTATTGTTCCAATATTTAGCTCAGTATTAACTAGCGATGCAAGCATAGGGATAGGCATGTAAAAGCTTATTCGCTGGACGAACATAAAGATAAGCATATATGCATAAGATTATCAAAACGTTGCCTTCTTTTTATGCTTATACCGTCTAGTTAAGACTTGGTTGGCAAACGTAAGGATAAACAAAAGTGAAAATCTCTCAGGCAATCAGCAAGCACTATACTGCTTAGACTAACCATGTCCCTATTTAACATAACATCGACTGTGCGCTTGTGCTCATGTTTATGTTGCAGCTAAGCCCACCGGCACATTAGCTTGTTATGTTTATGCCTATGCTTGTGTTGCAACTGAGTACTACCCTTGAAGCCTGTTTCGCACTTCTGAGATAATTATTAGCACAAGGATGAAAAAACAAGTACAAGGATGTTCACACCACTCTAAATTTTGTTTTTTGGAATTCTTATTGCTAGTCAGTGGTTACTCAAAACAAGGATTTTTTCGTTATTTTTAGAGTCAATTCCTTGAAATGTAAGGGTCAACATCTCTGCTTTTAAGAATTTTATACTCTCCAATGAAAGTTCCTCAGTTTAAGAATACCACCATTAAAAATAAGATTTACATTCCTTGTTTTAAGAATTATGACTTTGAATTCTCATTTTAAGGGTATTTCCACTATTGAATAAATATCTCAAATCCTTGCTTTTAGCAAGTATTCATTCTATGTAGAAAGGTTCTTCTTCCAACTAGATTTATGATAAATGCTTGCCAAAATTTCAGAAATATCTGTGGAATTGTGCTTGTCAAATTCCCAAGGAAATATAACTAAATATAATTTGAAAAACGTTTTTACATTAATTTTTCTTTCAACACACTCAATATCTGTGATTCTTCATGAAACAAGACCACAGTTTTGAGTGTTCCTAGTTTACCCTAAATATAAAGCAAAAAAACTGCCAAAATGTAGTCAGATTTGTGATGAAATTGTTTATTTTCATGTGTTTAGGACAAGTTTAAGGTTTCACCAGTTGTTCTTGTGACATCTGATCACCTAAGAAGTGGAAAGAAACACGACGCTGCGTTGGTCTGGACAGAAGATGTAACCAAGGACTCGTTCAAGGCTTGTTTGCGGGAGCTGCAAAACTTTGACGGCAAGCATCAAGACATTTATGTGGTATGTGATATGCTTTCTCTCTGTTGTAAAATCCATGAAGCTCTGAGATTAGGGTTATTTTCTTCTGTCTCACCAAGGTATCGGCTTAATTCAGTAACATGCTTGGATCTTTGCATTTGTGCCCAAATTAGATTAGAATTCTCTTAGTTTCATTCCATTACAATTTTTTTCATTGAATTTTAAGATCTTTTATTGTGTGAAATCCTTTGTAACTCATTGAAAATTCGTTATGGTACTCACTAGAAGTAAGTGTTGTTTTTTTGCACTGGTTCTTTACAGACCTGGTTTGCGTTTGCTAAGTTACATAAACCACTCTTCACTGAGCATGGCTCTGTAAACTTTCCAAATACGAATCCACCAACAGATAAAGACAACAACGCTTACTGCGAGGTAAGTGTACAGCGTAAGTCTGAATCGAGCATTGCGATTATGGAAAATTAGAGTAGTTAACGATAATGCTCGTGAAAACAGTTATTCATGAATCTCCTTCAGTATCTGCTTTTCATCCAACTGACAGTTTGTACACTTTACACGAAGTTACAATGCGACACCATCCGTCCAAATATCAGCCAATCACAGCACAACAGCTAGTGGAAACTTGTCGCTAGTTCATAACGGTGTTTCTGCGTGGATCGAGGTAAAAGCTTTTACTCGGTAGACTTTAAAACATTTTATATTGACATAAAAATAGTTGCTTGATTATTAGAAATCATCCAAGAAATAGTCATCCGCTTTTGCCCTTATGTTCCGTTTTCAATTGCTCTTACAGGATGTAGCAGAGGACAATAAAGAGATTTAGCACCGTATTTACGTGAAACGTTAATGGCAAGAGTGACCACGTGACCTTGTTTTTCCCGTCATTTTTCCTCGTTTGCCAGTTGCGCTTTGCCGTTTCTACGCCAAAGTAATCTGTTTCGCTTTTGCAATGTACGTAAGATTTTATCTCGATGGCAGATATGCGTTGTGGAAGGGAGAACTTTAAACCTCGGGAGAGAACAAGCTTTAAACTTTAAAGCCAAACCTACGTAAGATTTTCTCCACTTTTTCTCTCAGAGTAGAAGTTAAGTACTGTAAAATGGGCACCAAAACTATTCTTTGTAAGTCATGCAAGGGCGCCTTTAAATCCACTAGGACGTGAACTCACACGAAGCTATAGCAGCATGGGTCACGCTATTTTACGTAGAACGTAAAAGGGCAAACTGACGTTTGCCGTTTCGCGTAAACGCGGTGCCAAATCTATAAATTATCTCGATTAAGATAGAAATGTAGAATTCATTTCAATTTTAAAAGAACTTTGAATTATTTGCAGAACATGAATGTGTCTGGATTCAGAGTCTGCGTCAAGGAACTGTACGAGACCAGATATGATCCTGTGTCAGTGAATTATGCAGTCCTAACAGGTCGGTATGCAACCAATATTTAGACGGAGAAGATGCAACTAATTTAAAAAAACCTTCTCACATATGAATGAATTTCTACTATTGTTTTCAATATTAAATAACATATTTATTTCCAGACATCTGCAGTCCCGGATGGAGCTATTTTAATGGTTTCTGTTACTTCACAAGTGATACCTGTACAGATTGGATCACAGCGGTAACAAAATGTAGACAAGAAAACTCAGTCCTTGTTGATGTCAACAACACTGAGGAAAATGTTTACATCCAACATCGCCATAATGGAGATAAATCCTGGCTGGGTTTGAATGACAGATCGGCAGAGGGCGGCTTTACTTGGGTTGACCGTGGGCATGGAAACTTTACAGCATGGGCTGAGAATCAGCCAAATAACTTCAAAGAAGAAGATTGTGTGCACGCACTTGGCGTGAAATACAGCTATGAATGGAACGACGTGCAGTGTAGAGATTGTTATCAATTTACTTGTAAGAAAGGTTAGTCAAACATATTGTGTGAAGTTTTTAAGATATCGGATATAGGTTTCGGATACGTGAAGCAACCTGGAACATTCTTCCCCTCCTGCACAAGATGTCAGTTCATATGTCCTTGCATTTTGCCACGTTTCTTTTCAGGACAGTTAACCAATAACAATTTGTACTTTTTGATGGAGGGGCACTAACAAAGCTGGGAATCTTGCTCAAGGATAAGGTAGATCTTCGCGGGCCAGATTTTGACAACATATTTTTTTGTTGCACCCTAAACAAAACATTCCTATTTTAATCACAGCTTCCTCCAAAAAATTATTTTAAAATATTGAAACGCACTCGAGTTATTTACAACAACGTTTTTTCGAACTAAGTTCTTTGAGCCGCCAAAGTGTGAAAAGCCAATTGTATTGTGACAACACAAATGACTCTCGTAATGTTTTTCGCGGCAGAACATCCGGAGTTGGATTAGTCGCATAAACATCTTCGTATGTCGGTTTCACGTGTCTATCGTAGCAGTTAGTGAAATAATGAGTAGAGTCACACGTAAAAAGGAAAAGAGCCCTCGGGTTGAAGCTGAAAGGAAGCCTGGCCGTAATAGCCAGACATTGAAGGATTTCGATGAAGAATCGAGGAAAATCTCGACGAATCGGACAAGGGCTCGTGGTATGAGATGTTTTTGCTGCTCGCCTATCGACAAGTTCTGCCTCCGCCGGAAACTTGCATCGGAAAGTGGTGAAGAACCAAAGCAGACTAGCAATCCTGCGTGAACTAGCGATGCTGCGTGAAGAGTCTTCTGGGCCTCCGCTCCAGTGTTCCTATTAGCGGTCGGCATTTCGAGTTTTTCAGAGTGTTGACATAACCTGAAATGTGGTTAACCAAAGGCGTGAGATATTTGGAAAACTTTGGAAGCGAAAAAAACCCTCTTCGTTTTTACGCGGGTGTGTCTTCTTTGGACGAATTAATAGGGTATGAAATCTTTTCGTATCGACTCCAAATTTGGTCCGAAGGCTCCCATGATATCAATCTAATAAAAACGTGTGGGGCTATTCCGTTTTTTAAAAGTGATCTCCCACGATGGTCTCCGACGTAACGCGTATTGGTAAAATTTTGATAACCAAACTTGACAGATGGATTGCAAAGCAACCAATAGGAATATCGAAAAAACCCACATGGTTTTTAAGACAAACCAATTAGGATTGGAACTGTGTAGAGGTTTAACTTGTGTGGGCAGATTTGATACCCGATTAATTTGCTCAAACAACCATCTTCCTTTTCGACTTGTCGCACCTTACTCGCTTTACGATTTGATCAAGTCAAAACGAAACAATTTTTTCTAGAAAACACATCTCGTAATCTTTCCATTGATATATAGTTTAAATAGCGCGGTAACAATTTTTTTCACTAGTGCCTGGTATTAGTTACCTCGCGCGGGGAACAGGTCACTCTTGCGCCACGCGCGAGAGAAACGTGCGAGAGAAGCGCGAGATTAAGGTGGCTCGTACCAGTTTCCTCGCGCGGGAAACAGGTCACTCTTGCGTGACGCGCGTGAGAGAAACGTGGGAAAGAAGCGCGAAATCAAAAGATGAAAATTCAAAACAAAGATGGCGGCGCGTGGAATTTTTTCTACTTCTGTAAGAAGTTTACCTAAGAGCTTGTATTTGATGTGTTGAGCGGCCACTGTGAATGCAGGAGATAGAAACTAAGATAACGAAGACGATTTTCTAGGCAGTAAACGTCTGTAAACATCAGATTGTAGGTGCTCGCGCGAACACACGCGATAGTCAGCGGTAGCTATAACAGATCATGAGCAAATGTCTATTTTATAGACTAGGTTTACACCACAGGAAATTGTTCCGGATTCGTGATGAATCCGAAACGTTTTGGTACCGGATTGATTTTGCCGTTTACACGAAAGTGGACGAATCCGAAAATAACAAACTCCCCGGTTTGGTCGTGTCTCCGGAGATTTTGAATCCGGAATTTAAACTGGGAACTTTGAATCCGATAACTTTTGAATCCGGAAAGTTTTGTCGTGTAACCACTTTTTTGCTCGAATCCGGATATTATTTCCGTCTGCAATCTTTTAAGTCTGCGGTGAAACCAAAATGGAGGTCCGGTGCTAAAATTGCCGGCGGTCTCCGTTTGCCTAATCTTGTTGCAGGTTCAGGCGATAAATTTTATCATGTGTACCGCAGTATTTCTGAGGAAACGCAAGTTATTATTGCAAGGTATTTTAACGTCAGCCACACTTAATCGCCGACGACGTAGATGGCTTGGCATCTGTCCAACTCAAATTTGCCTCAGTGACATCTGGATCTCCTCTAGCCTTTTTGGGGAGACATATTTTCACTTTGTTGATCGAACGACGAAGCAACACTCGGCTTGGTAACCATTCCATTTCGAATGTTCCCGGAGTTTTCATTGTGTGTTAACGGTCAGGAATCCGAATATCCTTTCAGTGTGAACGCCTACGAATCCGAATACTCCAAAACTGATGAATCCGGAAACATTTACGAATCCGGAAAACTCTCCTCTAGTGTAAACCTAGTCATAGAATCCAGATTTTTAAATGCGCGAGAACGCGAGTGGAAATTGCTGAACTCACGAAAGCTATTGCACGAAAACAAGTCCGGTGACCCCTTCTTTTTATTGTTCCAATATGATAATAACGATGTAAGGAATCGTCAGAAAATTGAAAACTAGAAAATTCTACGGGAGGACATTTGCGATGCGTGAAAATTGCCTTTTTCTAGATTTTCTGAAATTCTGCTCCGTATAATTTTTTAAAAATCTTTGTACGTTTTCCTTTTCAAGTGCCGAAAGCAATCACTAAGAAAAATCACGGGGTCACTGGATTAGTTTTCAAATTATTTGAGCCACAAGCTAAAAAATGCGTCTAAATAAACCTTTGAAAGCGTTGCCATAGATACTGCTAAGGACGAAATGACACCTATTTTTGGATAACCAATGATTATATAATTCAGCCCTGTAAAGGTGTTCAACCGGCCTTGGTCAGTCTTTTTTCTGTATTTGTAGTTTTGCGGCGACCAAAAATCTAAATTCTCAAGTTCAAGGGCGTGTCGCTCGAAAACGCGGTTAACGAGGTGATTGGGACTATTTTACTGATCGAAATGACAAACCAAAGTTGACTGTTTGCACGAATCTTTATTCTTGAAAGGCAAGCGACCACGAACCACAATCAATTACGAAAATAACGATTATTCTCACGGTCAATCAATCTATCGAACGATGGATCGTAAACTGAAACAACAATACAACGAAGTTCTATCAATCTAATGAAAAGCCGCGGAATACACGATCAAAGAATCGCGTGTCAAATACTGAGCTCTAACGTCTATAACGAGATTAACAATACAAGTAAAACAGAGCAAAAGTTTCGAAACAAATTAAAAGAATTTTGGTAGCTGATAAGTAGCCTATTGTTCTATCTAAATGATGGGCGTTCACTGACTCGCAAATTGGCACGAATTTGCCTTTAAATCTTAAATCCATAGAGATCATTGCAATATTTGTCTGTATATTGTCGCCCAACACTGAAAAGACTGGAAAGGAAAAAACAAAGTTACAAAGGTATTCACATATCGGTCCCGCTTGTGCCAGAGGTTGAGAAAACGAAAGGGCGAAAGTTTACCAAGGCTATTCAAAACTTAC